AGTGGGTGCTCCCTTGAGGCAGAGGCAATTTAATGCAGAAGCCAAGGCAGTAGCATGTGACCATAAGAAACAGTGAAACTTAAGGGATTTGAAAGGGGTTGGGAGGAAAGTATATTGCTGAAGGGCATGGTGCTTCATTAATTTCAGATGTCGTATATGTGCATGAAGCATATTTGGCAAATACAGATGAAAACCATGATGATATGTGAACAGGAAAGAGAAGGCATGCTTTGTGGGTCAATGATGGACACCAGTCAGGGAGAGGTTAGTGCCACAATCATTCTAGGGCTGGACTATTTTTAGTCTAGGGGATTGGCAACCTTTCAGTCTAGGATTGAGCCATGTTTTGTTTTTGAAATCAAGCAAAATAAATTCAGGCCTTGCTGGCCGCTTAGTTGGGTTCACCTTGCAGGTGGGCCACGGTTTTCCAGGGATGTCCTGCAGTGTCTGTCTGGGGTGGGCCATGGTCAACCAGGAAAGTCATACAAAGTCTGTCGGGGGAGGGGAGTCACAGTCAGTCAAGTGAGTTGTCTGTCATCTGTGGGGTTTTTAGGATCTGCCCATGGCGGTAACTCATGTGGGAAATAAAAACTGAAAGAACGGTGGAACAAAAACAAAGTTGCTAGAAAATCTCAGCAGGTCTGGCAGCATCTGTGAAGGAAAAAACAGAGTTAACATTTCGGGTGTGGTGACCCTTCCTCAGAAGGACCTGAAATGTTAACTCTGTTTTTTTCCTTCACAGATGCTGCCAGACCTGCTGAGATTTTCCAGCAACTTTGTCATCTGGGAAATAGCCTGGTTGTATTTGCTAACTCAGGGAATGGTTATAGTCATAGGGGGCAAGTAAATACAGTAGGGTAGGATCTGTTAGGATGGGAGAGGGTTCTGGATGGTCATGAAGTGGGGTATCATGGCAGGACATGGTCAATCAAGTCTCAGTATGGAGAAGGTGCATGGCCATTGATCTCAGTTGCCAAAGGGGCCATCCATTGCCAGAAGAGGAGATGTAGGAGTGAGAGAAAACTTTGGAGAAGGAAGATGACAATGAGGATCTTGAGATTGACTCGGATAACAGTCAAAGAGAAAGACAGGACAGTATTCCTTCAAGACAGACAGGGAAACTGAGCTGAGTTGAGACTTTTCTGTTCCTATTAGACCTATAAGTCTGCTCTGCCATTCAATGATTGAATAATCCTCATGTCCACTTTCCTTCTTTTTCCCATAATTCTTGATTCCCTTACCGATTAAAAATCTATCTCAGCCTTGAGTATTCTTAATAACCTAGCCTCTGCAGCTCTCTTTGGTAGGGAATTTCACAGATTTTTTGAGAGAAGAAATTCCTCCCCATCTTGGAGATTTTGCCCTCTGGTGCTAGATTCTCCCACAAGGGGAGAAACGTCTTGGCATCTATTCTCTCATGCCTCTTAAGAATCTTATATTTATAATGGGCCTCCTCCCACTCTTCCACACTCTAATAAGTACAAGTCCAATCTACTCAACCTCTTCTCATAAGAAAGTCTCTCCATACCCAAAATCACCTAGTGAATATTCTCTGGACTACATCCAATGCTAGTATTACTTTCTTGAGATAACAGGCCTAAAACTGTGCACAATATTCTAGGTGTGGTTTGACTAGTGCACTGTATTGTTTTAGCAAGACTTCCCTAAGCTTACCTTCCATCCCTTCCACATAAAGGCCAACATGCCATTTGCTTTTCCTATTACCTAATGACCTTAGATGCTAGCTTGTGTTGGACCACGAAATCCCTCACACCACAGCTTTCTGCAGATTCTCTCAATTTAAGTAATATTCACTGTTTTATTCTTTCTTCCAAAGTGTGTATCCTCATATTTTCCCATATAATATTCCATTTACAGTACCAAGTTTTTGGCACTTACTCGTAAATAATTGAGGCCCCAACACTGATCCCTGTGGCGCTTCACCAATTACAGACTGCCATCCTGAAAATGCCCCCTTTATCCCAACTCTATGTTTTCTATTAATAGCCAAGCCTCCGTCAATGCTAATATACTACTCCAATCACCATGGGCTCTTATCATATTTGGTAGCCTTTATGTAGCGTAATCATATTGAACATCTTTTGGAAATCCAAATACATTTCATCCACTCTTTCCTCTTTATCTTCCCACACTACCTCCTCAAACAATTCCAATAAATTTATCGGGCATGATTTCTCCCTTCATACTCAGCTATTACATGCTTTATAACAGTCACTAACACTTTTTCAAGAACAAGCATTAAGCTAACTGGCCTATAAGTTTTTGTTTCACTCCATGTTTAGTATTAAGCTGGCTGTCAGTTCCCTGCTTGCTGTATGTTACATTCTTTATGAATTGGTTTTCAATTTGATTTATTTCAGCAATAAAATGTTGACTTTTTTGTTCACCTGTGTCTCTGATTTCCTCACATCTGTGAAAGCTCAAGCACAAACCTTACCTTGGCACTAATCAGCTTTGATACACTGAGACTTTCAATAACCACGCATTACTGGATGGTTGTGGTAAAATGGTCCTCGAGTCAAAAACATACGAGTAACATTAGAAATTCGACTCCCTTCTAAATATTGGTGA